TGCGTGGTGCTCTAGTTACTGGCTGGCGCTAAACCACGACATTACCCCTGCCTTCAAGTGCTTGGTTTGCAGTCATCAACAGCAAGGAAATTTGGTGGAAAAGGTACAGAAGAAAGCAAGAAGAAAAAGAGGACAATCCAAAGTAGGTCATTTAACTTAAAATGGCTTGGTTAGAATTTTTGAGTAAGGATTCCTGAAAAATGTGTTGCAGTACTTGCCCAGCTCCATTTTAGATGTTCAGACTAAATCTACTTCCTTGTCATGAATATCTGTATGTTATGTTATTTGCTGATATAAAACCAAACCATCTTCTTCATGTGAAAATATAAAGTGTCCATTTCTAACACTGTTAAATGAAAAAGCTTTCTAAATACTCACATGTCAATTATATTGCTATTTTTGCAATGCTGACTTTTGCTACATTTGAATTTCTAAAATCAGTTTCAAACTTTCTCTGGAAAATTTCAGAGTACTGGCATTCATCAGGAGATGAAGGAAAAGAAACATCAAAAAGTTTTTCGGTTGAGGTTGTCCATCAAAAATACAGCCATATTGTACTGAGGTAACCAGCTACTGGGGCTATAGTTAAGAGGAAGCACTAATGCTAAATCAGTCCTGCTTTGTTTCCTAAGGAAAACAGTAATAACAGCCCTCCCTTGCCATTAATAGCTCTTGAGAATTCATCTCGTATAAAGACTTTAATTCATTTTGATACATACAACAGGAACAACTCTATCGTTTTGGAGATTAACAAAATGGCATACCAATTCAAACCAAGTTATAAAACCATAATACTATGCTCCTTAATAAGTAACATAACTTAATCAAGATGTAAAGACATACATGGCTAAAGAGAAGCTAAACATGAAAACCCCAATATTCCTGAAACTCAATGCATGAGTTCCTCTGTATGTAGTATAGATAAACAATACCATGGGGGAACTGTCAAGCTTAATTAATTCTTCTGCGCAATGTTGTTTAAGGTCCTTGGAGGAAGAGAATTAAAAATGTATATATTACAGATACTTCCTCTACCTTTCTGTTAGATGTATGGTACAGTAATTCACAATGAGCTACATAAAGTGAAAGCCGTGTTCATTGCAATAGCAGATGGTAGTGTTATGTCCTGCAATAAAAAGAAAACTTCACATGTTTATGTGCCTTCATACTTGTTATAAGTTTTTTAGGATGTACAGTAAAGTGATGGAGGAAATGAGATACAAGTTCTGATTAAAAATTCCATAATATCAGCTTTCTAGAAATAGGAAAAAATTTCTGTATTTCTTCTTTAGAGGACTCCAAATGAGAGTCCTCTGCTTTTCTGTGGCTGCAGTAGGGGCAGAATATAGTCCTTTTCACTGACAAACTTTTCACTGGACAAATTAAGAATACATGATGGAGATCTTGTATCCCCAGGCCTCTAAGCTCAATGGTGGTGTGTTGTAAAGTGATCAGACAGCTACTTTAGTACAGATAATGTAGTCACAGGTTCTAATATCATTAAAAATGGTTTGCATGAATTATTTACATATACTATGGAAGTTTACTATAGCCATTGCTGGTGTTCTATGATGATTTCTGTACTCCTGGAAAGTAGTACAGAACTTGTGAAACCTTGTTCTACCATCCAATCCTATCTGGAATAGTGGAAGTCTTTCTGATCCTTGTCACATATCAGGATCATAAGTATTAAGAACTGCATTAGCAGTAATACCAGTAACAGTTTATAAAATGCTTATAATATATCTTAATCCCATTGCAGATGAGAAGCACTTCAATGAGAATCAGATGGACAAAAATGATAACAAGAATTTTAAATAGGGAATGGGAGTGAAATGGAGAATGAAAGCATGAAGGCTTGGAACACATCACTTCCCTCAAACACATTCTTGACAGTAGAGCAAAAAACCAGACATAATAATACTTACGTCATAGCTTGATAAATATATTCAATTCCATAGCGCATTGCAAATTCATCTACAATTTCTTGTGCAGCGTCATCAAAGTACACCTTCCAGGCTTCATCACCTCTCACTTCAGGGATTTTTACAACACCATTAGATTTAACTTCCGTCAAGTAATGGAATAGATTCTAAATGTAAGAAATGTTTCAAATAGGAACTTTTGGCTTTTAAGTGGCATTCTCGAAGTATATCCTATATAACAGTCATCAATATGTTCATTGCTAGGTTTGGGGTTCTTTTTTTCCAAATTTTTCTGAAGACTGGCACTAACTAGTCATCATTTGGTAAACAAAAAAACCGCAAGGCTCTAAACATATTTTTGTAATGGAACTCTGGTAGTGCAGGCTTGTGATTCAGTGCAATGATCTATCTCCTTGATATCAGGTTATATCAGTTAACTGGCACAGAGAGACTGCGACATAAAATTGTGCAGAAACTTTCTCTTCTCTATCATATGCCCTTGCTAGTGAATGAAATTGTGATGTTATAATGCTCACTACATAGTGCTTCAACTTTAATTGGATCTGTGACCAACAAATTTCAAATTCATTATTTAAAAACTGTAAGTTACAGGAAACCTATCAGAAATATTGCAGAAGCCTCTCAAGTAGTGAAGGGCATGCAATAAAGTTTAGGTTTAGCAACCTTAGGACCAAAGCTAGTATTATCATAGAATCACAGAATCATGGAATGCTTTGGGTTGGAAGGGACCTTTAGAGGTCATCTAGACCAACCTCCCCGCAGTGAGCAGGGACAGCTTTAACCAGATCAGGTTGCTCAGAGCCCCATCCAACCTGACCTGGAATGTTTCTAGGGATGGGGCCTCCACTGCCTCTCTGGGCAACCTGTGCCAGTGCTTCACCACCCTCATTGTAAAAAATTTCTTCCTTATGTCTAGTCTAAATCTATTCTTCTTTAGTTTAAAACCGTTACTCCTTGTCCTGTCACAACAGGCCTTGCTAAAAAGATTCTCCTCATCCTTCCTGTAGGCCCCCTTTAAGTACTGAAAGGCCGCAATAAGGTCTCCCTGTAGCCTTCTCTTCTCCAGGCTGAACAACCCCAACTCTCTCAGCCTGGCCTCGTAGGAGAGGTGCTCCAGCCCTCGGACCATTTTTGTGGCCCTCCTCTGGACCCGCTCCAGCAGGTCCATGTCCTTCTTGTGCTGAGGGCTCCAGCGCTGGGTGCAGTATTTAATTCAATGTTAATATCATAGAATGCTTCTCAGATTACCCACCTCCATATGTATCCACAAACTCAGCAACAGATTTGATTTCCTATTTTTAGTGACCAAAAAAACCCCCAAACTTTGAACTAATTTCAGTTTTGCTAATTAGCCCATAAGTCTCTCATGGATTATCTTAAAGCAATAGAGTTTTGCCATTTACTTCACAGGTCAAAACATTTGCAGTATCAGGTCAAAATCTGTGAGCAAAAATGCCCTGAACATTCAATTTTACTCATGGTGAACAATGGGATTTTGTGGGTACATACTAGTGCTGAACTTGCAGCCGTATATTATCTATCAGCTTTCAGAATGAACTTGTCTTTTTGGAATAGAACTTCAATGTGGATCACTGTTTGAGGAAAGAGGAATCAAATACAAAGAAAATCTTTTGAGAGACACACTGGTTTATCAGTGATTATTTTTTTTCAACGTTGACAAAAGCAATCTAGATGATAGGAGAACCAAATTTTATACTGTTTGTGCTTCTCCTGCTTTTTCTTGCTCTCTCCAAAATATGAATTAATTTATCAGGAAAGAAGTCTTTTACAATTAATAGCTGTATTTCTGTAATATACAGAAATGGTTGTATCTTGATGTTAGCAAGCATGTATGGAACACCAAAATGTTAAAACAACATAAGGTACGGGGAGAACTTAGCTGACTCCACCTCTTTTTTCTAACTCCTACTGGCAGGAATGATCTGTTGGTGTTACAGTGTTCTGCTTTTGACTCTGAATCTGATACGCCATCAGCAATACAAAGTGGGAAATCTAAAAAAAAAAAAAACTTGTCCTGAGGTGTAGCAGCAGTTATTTGCTTCAGTGTCCTAATGTTCTGTAGCCTTTTCTTCCTTATCCATGGAACAACTGAATAGTAATTTCTGTGTAGTATGATCTCTTTAACTTCTCCAACATACCTCATGTAGACAGGTGTACTGCATGTGGTAGGGAGCAACTTTCTCCTCTCCTTTTATTTCAACATTGATTTTCAATCTAATGGCACCAGAAACAGCTGATTTATCTGTTCGTTTTTCTGAAGAGCAGAAAAATAATATATTAGTAACTACCAAGAATACATATATGCCACGTGAAAAGCTTTCATAAGTCACTATAGCTTAATAAGAATGTTTTTTGAAGCCAGAAAGTCCTGCTGTTGAGAACAAGAGGTTTGGGGTTTTTTTAATACCTCACATATGGCTCAGGCCATGAAGCAGAATACCAAACTATGAAGTAAAGAATCCTTCTAATTTTATCTGCCAAATTCAAACCAGGCTGCACAGTGCTTTATTTAACACTTTTCCCTTTTCAATAGAAACTACTTCCATTTTCTATCTGCTATCTGTACTAATTATTATTATTTTCATTATTGATATTTTCCTTTAGTTATGAAGACTTTAGCAAAAACCTGAACTACTATGTCTGAGAGAAACTCAAAATGTTCTTAGCAGAACTCAATTACAGACCTAAGCTGAATCTTACAGAAGAAACGATATGAAGAACTTTGTTTATGCTATCTGTGCTAGTCCACTTAGTTGCTGTCACTCATTGGTTACTGATCTCTGACTCCAATTTTCACTTTTCCAACCCACTCTAGCAGTATAACTGAGTCACTTGGTATAACAATTGTTATGAATCTTTCACAAAGTGCTGTGATATGAGTGGTGAAGAACAGCACAATTAATAAGAATTGGTATTCCACAAATTCAATTCTTTTGTTTGAGTATTTCAAAAATTTCCCTGTATGATGTGACATACTGCAGTTTTGTCAATGTGTGTATGTATCAGAATAAAATATACCATTCTTTTTAGAATATTAGAATTATCACAAGCCATTTACCAATATTTCTTTTTAGATGCTGATTGAAAGGTTTTCATTCTAGATTCTTCCTTTTGCAGAGCACATAGATTTTCAATGTTATTATTAAACTGCTTCCTGTCAAATCAGTTCAGCAAAATTTGTTTTAAAAGTGCATTTAATAATAATTTATATCAGTATTTATATCAGTTTAAGTCACTGAAATTTTTGAAGAAATAAAATCCAGAATACATAATGACCCAATTTTCTTACCTTTTAAAAAAAATCTCATTATAAATAGGAAATAAAGCAAGGTTTTCTTTTCTTTGTCAATAAGAAATCAAATAGTTCCCTGACACATCTATATAAGTCCCTGGGAAATGCAACACTAGACAGGGAAACAAGGACCGTTGATTAGGAAACAAATGCTCTACAATTTCAGAAAATTATGTCACATAATTCACCCAAAGTTTTCACAGAGCAGGCAACCTAGATAAAAATGTTACTATCACATTTTTATCATCAAATATAGGAGATTAACTTTTAAAGGGCTACTCCAGAATATTTAGTGCACCCAAAGATATTTTTAGAATTAAAGAACAGTTGTATGCTTAGATTTAGATAAAGAAAATATATGCCGAGACACACTTTCATTCATTTATTTCTGGCTTAAAGAATGATACTTAAGACCTGTCCAGACAAGAAAGTGTAGTCATTAAGGACAACAGAGAGCATTTTGAGCTTCAGCAGGCTGTCTTCAGTTTATGTCTCTTCATGTAAACACATTTGACATGTACAGAACAGAAAACTCAAGCAAGTTTCATGAAGAACCAGAGGTGTAAACAGTGAAAACCAAAGATGATTAGGCCCAGAATGGTATATAAATAACTTTTTAAAATATGTGATAAAATGAATGTGGACAACAAGCAAAATATTTGCTAGATTTTTCTATGTATCTCTCGATGTATTTCCCACAGAATGCTACTATGAATGGACTAGTCCGAAATGTTGGGTTTTCTTACATATTTTCAGTTTTGCATTAAAATGAAATATTTTTCTTTGGTATTGTTATGATTAGTCTCCTCTCTGTAACTGTCATAACTCTGGATCAAAACCAAGAGAGTATCTTTCATTTTCAAATCAACCTGTAATATTTAAGATTTTTAAAGTTGTATATTGGTACCAAAGCTATATATTTTGAAGTACCAAATCTACAGATGCTGAGATTCTACCTAAATTTGTTTTAAAAAATCAGTAAGAATCATACCTAAATTATACCATACATCCATTTCTCCACTCAGTGTTCTTACTTCAATGATTGTTTGCCCAAGAAAGTCATCTGATTCCTTTTTGAAATGTTGTTTTACTCTAGATTTGATGTCATCATCTTCATCCCATACTCTCACTTTTATTCTATCTGTAGAGTTATGGCATTCACTGTAAAAATAATAATAAAAATGTGAGTGATACATAAGCTACATTCATTTGTACTGCTGTCTAATTCATTGTCTTCGATTTCCTAAATCCTAAACACTAAAAAATTCCTTGCAAATTTAAGTGGCTTACTAAGTCCTCATGAGTTGAGCGGATATGAGAAACTACTGGAGAGAGTGAGGTGGCTTCACTTGCAATCTGCAGATTTCCCAGTGGATAACACTTTTTACTCCCAACTCCATCCTGCATATATTTTCACAGAAATGGAAAAGAAACTCTATTGCTACTTATTCCTGCAAGCCACAATGAGGACTATTTACTATTCATCAGCGTTGGCTTTTGATGATTTCATTGGAATATCCTAACATTGACTAAAGTCTGTGGTAGTGAAAAACTTTCTGATAACGTTTAATGGCTAGTACAGACCTGGCATTCATTATAAGCCATGTCATACTCATGCATCTGTACTAAGAAGGGGTTTTTTAATATCCATTCAGTAATACTACAGCAATATTTAAAGTATTATGAATCTTTGGTTATCTTTAAATATAGCTTTAAAGTGTAGCAGCAAATTTTCATTTTCGGCAAGGTCTTAGTTTGACACTAGATTAAGAGTTCTTACTTGCATTCTATTCCAAGCACTATCACTGCTCAGTGATCTGTCTCAGTGTGTCCAGCATTAAAACAGTAATACTATAACTTATCTCCCAACTGGTGCCCCTCAGGGGTGTTCTAAGAATTAATTAATGGTGGTAATGGGCTTTGGAAGTATGAAGTGCTTTAAATGGTATTATTACTGTCAAGGCCAATCAGTCACTAAAAATGGCATGCACAGCTTTTACTCTGCCTCACTCTGACATCATTCAGTGGCACAGAAATGCTTGTGTCTGTCTGTATTCCAAATGTTAACACTGCAGATATTTCTGGTAATTAAACCCCACATTGTTCTGTGATTAGCAAAACTAATGAAGCCTAGTTTCCTTTTGTCTTATGATTGGCTTTCCTGATATCTAACAAACTGCAATCACATATTGAATCTTCTCCCATAATTGGGATTTTAATAAATTACCCCTTCATATGGACTCCCTGGTGTCTATTATGGGGTGAGCTCACACTGAGGACACTTTTAGGATCTCATGTCTGTCTGACCACCTATTTTCATAGAACATGATGGACGTAGTATTAGGCAATCTGTGAAATTTCTCTGACTGATCACAAAATTCAAAAGCTATTGGCAAGGACATATAAAATCTGGGAAGACACAGATGGATCAAATAAACATCTTTGCCTTAAGAAACCAGGCTAAAACTAGAAAGCATTTAATTTTCCTAAACTGTAACCCTGATTTATTGCTTAACATTGCCAGAGTCCTGAATTGCATTTAGCTGTGCACACAACAGAAATATTAAATGGGATTTCCACAATGGCATAGGGAGATCCATCACTGGTGAGGCATTTATGTGACCCTCATCACTGTATCTGTGCTATCAGTAGAAATCTTGTTCCTGCTTTGCTTCTCAGGGAGATGCTGCATATATAAAGTCATTAAATGGTGCTTCAGTACAAATACCATATTTTTATTCTCCTGAGACAACACCAATTTCCCTCTGATGTACACTTAGCTGATTCAGGAATATTTATCCAGATGGTCAGGATGACTGCACTTTTCCCTGATATCCTCATTTGTCTCTCCCACATCTTTTTCTCCTTTAATCTTAGGTCAGTGAAACATGGTGAGACTTATCACAAGCAATGGGTTTACTCACATGTTCATCTTTGTGTCTAAACCTTTAGCTCTGCTACATGTTTGTAACGTTCCTGTCCAAGACCCCCAAACTAGCATAGATTTGTGATGCAAGAACGGAAGGGTGGACGAACATGTATTTCTACTGGCCTGTTCTGTGGCAGTGAGATTGCAGGGAGATTTACTATTAAAGTTACAGAGCTGTCTCTGCATGATTCTACTTACCTGCCCAGCCTCTGGGAAGCAGCACTATATAATGAGATGCACATTCTGCTTTAGTCACTGGTAACATCTGTGCAGAAGCTCTGTGGCTTTGCAAAAAACACTGGGTGGGATTCCTACTTCTGCTTACTCTGCCCAGGAAAATCAGCCCAGGGAATTCAAGGCAAAGACAACATATGCTATTTACAGTGTTCCTCTTCTAGCCACTCTGTTTTATATGCTCAGTAAAAGTATTCATGAAGGTGTGATACAGGAAGGTGAGAAGTAAATTGCTCTTTAGCACACAGAGAATGAAGATATTGATGCTTTTGAAAGCTGGAAAAGCTGCAGTATATTCAGAGATGCTAGATAAGAGAGACAGTTTTAATATCAACAATCTGGTGATGCTACCTTACTTCTGCATTTACAGAATGCCACACAGACATGAAATAATCCTCACAGCATTCCTG